TTGCTTCTCACGCCCCTCCAACCCCACCAGACGCCTCTGGTCTCCACCGGCAGGATAACATTGTCACCTCTTACTTGACCCCAGAGCCAATTTCGCGCTCTTTCACCATTTCTCTCTTGCCTTTGCTTTTATGTGCTTGAGGTGTACCCCGAGCCGTACAGCCAGACAACAGTCCCACTCTTCGGACCGGTACCATCTGCCAATCGGCCCACATGCTGACAAATTCACTCTGCCTGCGCTGGTATCGGATTCGAGTCCCGCAGAAAAAGTTGCTGGGCCCGTCGGAAAGCCACCACAGTCCAGGCCGAAGCAGATGCGCTACCCTTTCGTTCACCTGCCAGAGGCGGTCTGGCTGCGGAGGCAATTCTTTTGCAAAAATGCATGAATGAATGAAAAACAGAATGGAAAGAAATGACTACCTCGTACAGACGTGCTTCTTCGAAATTATTATGCCACTCTACCGGAACCCGAGTTCAAGGGCATTTGAGGCTGTTGACGGGCCAGTTCAGGTGAGGCCCTCTTCGTGGATGAGAAAACCTTTTTGGAAGCAAGGCCAAGTGTGAAGTTGAATGGAAGCATGATTGTGGCAATATTCAAGCATCAATCATTCATTACTTGAAACGGAATAGGGTGAATACAACTTTTAATTCAATGACCTGGCAAAAGTAGTACATCAAAATGAAAAATAGATTTAACAGAAAAAAAACACCTCATACAAACTCACTGTTTCCGCTGCGTGAAATTTACTCACCTCCATACACACACACACACACACATATATATATACAAATGCACACACACTTTAGGTTGCTTAGCACATGCTTCCTTGTGGGAAATCCAGCTCTTGAGCAGACCAGCTCATCTGATTGTCGTAAAATAACTTTCTGCCGACTGGGCTGACCAAGCTTTTAGTCATGCAGTACTGCCAGTTTCATCAACTGGCCACATTGAACCTCTCCTTGGCCAGACACAAAGACCAAAATGGTGTGGGCCTTGGTTTGTTCTTTGTTCGCAAATTTGTCGTACCTTCAGAGCGGCATCAAAGAATGCAATCAATTTGAATTGCCTCGTCTGCATTTGTCGCCATGCTGTCTTTCAGCACAGAAGAGAAGCTCCGGCACTGGTCCCACTCCA